TGGGGGGGGGGGGGGTTAACAGACGACGGACACGACAGGAGCTGGGCGGCAAACAACGTCGTACTTGGTGAACATGAAGGGGATCAGATGGCCCAAGTGCATTGCCTGAGAACTGGGCCCTAATGGCGAGGGTGCATGGATGTGTCATGCATCAAGTCTTGGGGTGTCACGTGCAGCGATAGAAAGGCACACGAACACTCACCACGACCAGTGTAGAGGTAGATGGGCTTGCCCTGCTCTTTCAGATCGAGGATGCGATCAAACTCGCGGTGACTGAAAAAGATGTTGCTGAAACAAAGGTGATCCAGCATCGAAGAAAAGAAACAAGAAGGGATGGAACGCAATCCGTCATGAGTGGACGTAGTGTTGAAAGACAAAGAGATGCTGGTTCTGCGCGATCAGAGCAGTCGAGCGCAAATTGCTAACCGGCGCAGGAAGTGGTGGATGGGCATGCCCAGCTCCTTCATGCTACAGCACCGGGCAAACAAAGGCAACAGTGAGGCGACGGACCCGACTCTCCAGGATTGTAGCAGCAGACCCGGCTTACCGATCGATGTGCGTCGTCTCCAAAAGCTTGCTGCCAAAGTCCTCTGCAAGTCGTGTCAATCCGTGGTTAGCATCGAGACGAGTTGCAGATCGGCACGACGGCCATTGACACGCACCAACAAGCTTGTTGTAATCAACGGCCCCGTCGGCCTGCACCTCCCAGGGAGTGACAATCTGGCCTCCTGCGGGCGGGGCGGCACCGGCTCCCTCAGCGGCATCGGATGCGTCGGCGGATGCCGGCTCTGCGGGTTCGGCAGCAGCCACTTCAGCTTGCTTCTCCGCCTGGCGCCGGCCACATTCGCACGTGAATGAGACGCGCCCACCAGCTCTGGGAAAGGAGACGAGCGGGGTTGGTTCAAGGGCACAGACATGCGCTCCGCACCTTCTTTTCCTTGCGGTCGGCCTTGAGCTTTTGCTTGCGCTCCTTTTTAAAGTCGGTGGGCGGGCCCAGCTTGGCGGTGAGAACGCGTTCGACAGCGGCCTTGACGGTGGCACCAGAGGCAAAAGGAAGTTCGTTGCGCACGCTACGCATAATGTTAAACTGATGACCCCAGCCGTTGGCTGCGAGGGCATCAGCGTCAGCCTCAACGGCCTGAGCAGTGACGGCTGCGATAGTTTCATCACTGGGGATGGCGCCAACGCCACCGGCCGTGCGGAGGTCATCCATGCTGAAGGCTGCATCGTCTGTGCAGTTCTTGGCATAGTTCATAGCACCTAATTGAGTGGGGCAGGAGACATAGACGGAGCCGGAGACGGGTGTGAATGAGGATCGGCACCAATTTGTCAAGACTCGGGCTGAAGCGAGCAACAGCCATACCAGCCAGTTGTTCAGGTGTGGCAATGCCTTGGTCAGCTGGAGCAAAGAGAAGATCCAAAATGCCACTACGGGATGGGGCGCACAAAGCAAGAATAAAACGAAGGACAAGTGAGCGCGATAGGGCACCTGCCTGGGATATCCCACGGGGCGGGGCAAAAGGAACGCACTGGCGAGCAGCTTCACAGGCGTCCATCTTGAGCTTTGAGGCAAGATCAAAGATGGTTTTGCCCTGCGCAGCAAGGCCCTCCTCACCACCGCGGCGCTTGGCCTGGCATAACAGGCCAACAAGCAGGCACGATGACGCGTGTCAGGACGACGAGGCAAAGGCACAAAGGCAGATGATGAATCGGGCGTACCTCATCCAGGAAGAAGCGGCAAGCCGCGTCGACATCCTTGTTCTTGACAGCTGATTGAGCGGCCTTTTGCGGCACGCCCAACGCCACCAACTCTTCCACTTGAGTCGCCATTGTGATCTGCCGCGCCCGCAAACGCGGAACCATGTGCATGAGGCTCTGAACTCGGTTGCTCCCAAGTTATCGTCCCCTTCCCCTCACACCGCGAGCCTCACACCACAACCAGCCAATAGCATGCACTGGACAACCATCCAAGACACCACCACCCCACACCGATACAGTACCCCTCCCTCCACCCCGCCACAAGCAGCCACAAGCAGCCACAAGCAGCCCCCCCGTCCCCGTCCCCGTCCACACCGACCGCACTGCCAAAGAGGGCGGAAACTCGCTCTCTCGCTCTCTCTGTCTCTGTCTCTCTGTCTCTCTCTCTCTCTCTCTCTGTCTCTCTCTCTCTCTGTCTCTCTCTCTCTCTCTCTCTCTCTCTCTCTCTCTCTCTCTCTCTCTCTCTCTCTCTCTCTCTCTCTCTCTCTCTCTCTCTCTCTCTCTCTCTCTCTCGCGTACCTTGTGTACCTTGTGCATGAGAGGAAAGAAGAAAATGGGAAAAAACAAGTGTTGTTGACGACTAGACGAGATTGTCATCAGCAAAAAAAAAAAAAATCGCTCTCTCTCAACTCCTCATCCCTCTTAACGCTCTCTCTGAAAGTCTCTCTAAAGTTGAAAGTCTCTAACGTCTCTCTCTCTGAAAAAGTTTCTCTCTTTCTCTCGCTCTCTCTCTCTCACTTTTCTCAAATTTCGCCCAAAAAAAAGCAAAAAATCAGAAAAATAATTTTGAGCAGCAGCCGGTACGTCCCCGCGCGCGCGCGCGTGTGTGTGTGTGTGTGTGTGTGTGTGTGTGTGTGTGTGTGTGTGTGTGTGTGTGTGTGTGTGTGTGTGTGTGTGTGTGACGCCGAGACGGTGGCGGTTGTATCGTGCTCAGGCCGGGGCAGGAGCAGCGATGAGGACAAACCCACACGTAGAGGGTGACGCATACATACACACACAGACACAGGCACGTTGAAGTGTCTACAGTGTGTGGCGGCTCATGTGTGTTGGATGCTGAATGGGCGGCAGGTGTTGGGGGTTTGACTGGCGCGCTTCCGGCCTGAAACGGCAAGATGGGGGGGCAGCACTTGGATCAGATGCGAATGCTGCAGGTCACCGAGTATCTTTTGAATCGACACCGCGCTTTGCAGCCCCATGTCGCTCAGCTGGCGGCTGTGCGCGCCGTGTTGGCGGCTGTCGTGCTGCTCTGGTCACACACGTACGTCTTCTCGGCCGTTGACTTGCACGCGGGTTGTTCAGACCCTGGCGAGCGTTTTGCATGTCGCACTGACAGACCACCCCCACCCTCTCTTCTCCTTGCCCCTCACCCCCCTCAACTACCCCCCGCTCACACACACACACATGCACGCGAGCATGTTTTCTCCTGTTCATGCAGCGCAGTGCTCATGTCTACTCGCGCGTCTGTGCTTTGTCTTGTCCAACGCAGAGTGGCACTTTTCCTGAGCACCTTTGTGCCGGCCATCGACCTTGACATCCTGGACCAGCTATGTACGGTGCAAGCTCGCGCCGCACGTTCCACCACACCCCGCGTGGCCCCTCCTCACTGTGTTGTGTCGCGTTCATAACAGGCTTGCTGCTGAGCTTTCTCGCCTTGCTCGAGGCGGCTTATGTGTTTGCGCGCCGCCTCTACTATCAAAACTTTGTCCCGGCCAGTTTGGCAGGCCTCTCTGATGACCAGTATCGCCTACTCTGCGTACCAGACGAGGTCAAGGCCTTGGCTCGCGGTGTACCTCAGAAGCAAAAGCCCGCTGATGCGTCCCAGGGGCGACCTTCAACCACTCAAGTCCATACGCCCCATGGTGGGACTGCGTCTCGCAACAACGCCTGGTGCGACTTGCGCATCCTACCTCGCTTCTGGCTGCCATCACCCCCCCGTTCCTTCCATTGCACCGTCCATCGGACACGCCTTGCGTGCACTTGACTCATTTTTTCGTTGCCCCGTATTTCTCATTTTTGCTTGACAGGCGCCAACGTCTGCACGACTCACCCATCACCAGCCCAGTCCAGCAGCGAGGCAGCGTTGGATCCCCGTTTGGCAATCGTCTGAATGAGAGTGGTCATGATCACAGTGGCATCTTCTCTGAACCAACTTCCCCCATGACTTCGCCCCGGGTCTATCGACGCTCGGCCAGCTTCAAGTCCCCTACCAAACACAAGGGCCGCGTATCAGACGTCTTGAGCCTCACACGCTATCTTGACACAAGTCAACAAAACTCCACCCTTGCAAACAGTGAGTGCATCTCCCTCCCCATAGCGCGCTGACCTGCCCCATTCTCCAACCTCAACCCATCGTACTTCCCGTCCCATCCCTCAAATTACTCTTGATACAGATGACCTGTCAACGCCGCGTGAGAACACGGCCGTCTACGACATGGTCAACAACCTCGGCACAAACCTGACGCGTGCCGTCAAGTACTTGACTGCCGTCAAGTATGTGTCTGGCTTTGACTGAGAGTGGCCTCGCGGGGGTCAGCTCGCTTGGGCTTCCTCGCTCTGACCTTGTACCTGTGCATGACAACCTAGACCCCGAACTGCGCCCAAAGCTGAAAAGCGCGACCGCGATGACCTGTCGGGCGATGAGGTCAGCGCTTTGCCCCTCCAAATGCCGAGCCACCCTTGTTTTGATTTTTTTTTTTTTTTTCCATGAAGGGCAGATGGCCCCTTGGTTTTTTTCTCAACTGCATGTATGTCCTGTTTCAATTCCATCTTCCCACATCATCAGGTTTGGAAGCACTTGCGCATGTCGTCGTCCCAGGTCGCCACTGCCACCGAGCGCTGTCAGATGGTATGATTCAAACCTCGGTTACACCTCCTCTGAAAGAGAATAGCCTGTCTCTTCACAAACTCCTCGCCTCTTGTAGTGGATCACACATGCCGTGCTTCGGCCCGTGGCCAAGGAAATTCGCCACTTAAACACCGTTCTTCGCAAGTTGGTTTTAGCCCCAGACCACAATTCGCGTGCTTTCCCCCCCTTTTCACACTTCTGTTCACACGCTCACCCCGTATACCAATGCCACTTGCGACCAGTGCGCGTCTCTCGTCTCGTATTGGCTCGTCAAGCCTGACTCAGATTGAAAAGCTGCATCTGGTACGATGCCGCGTTCAATGCTGCGTGCCCGGTGATGCATTTACACACTCGGATCAAACCAGAATCTTACTCACTGGTGCTTTTGCGCCGTTGGCCCACCGCACAGGACGATCCGGTTGCTCTTCAGCGCTTGTTGCCATTCTTGCGCCTTCACGACGCGCAAGATTACCTCGTTGGCCGCTTTTTTGGTGCGTGGCGGCTCATCTGCGACATGTTTGCACTTTGGTCGACATTTGTGCTCTTACGTGGCGCTCCTTGCTATGCTGGCAGCCTTGGCCGACCAAGAGGGCTACAACTGGCAGGGTGGCGGTGACGTGAAGGATCTCAATGGCAACATTGTATCTTGGAAAAAGGGCTATCCTACGGACGCTGAGGTATGTACAACCGCCCCCTTTTTTTTTATGGGCTACCACGCTGGATGAATCCTCACGGCTTGCCGAAATGACTTGCCGACAGATTTTGTTTCACTCGCTATGCTGCTTTTTAAATGATCCATCCACGCTGTACGTGCCACGTGCGTACGACACCGTGGAGCAAGAGGCGCGCTCCTTCAGCTCTCTGCACGTCATCAAGCACCCCGAGGTAACTTGCACGTGGCTCTTTTAATTCTCCAATGCACGCGCGTCCACAATCCTCATCAAATTTGGCAACACAGACAATCGATGACATGAAGCGACGTCGTGACAAGACGCAGGTCTACATCTTCAAGACCGAGTACGCACACCCATGGGCACAATTTATCGGTCGGCCATTCATCCCGCAAGACGATTCCCCTCCCTCTCTCACTCGGCTTTGCTCTTGTGGTGTATAATCCCAGGAGTGAGCTCCCGCATTTCAAGCTTGTCGTCCAGGATACAGATCCCCAGTATCACCAGTGGAACCTCGCCAAGGTACTTTCGAAAGCTTGACACTCTTTTTGCAATGCAGCATCATTTGCGTTTTCCACCGCTCGCTTCGTTTTCTCATTCCGTTGCTTCCTGGTCCCACCTATGGTCTCCAGGGACGCAACAATCTCTTTCATGTTGTCGTGGCGCTTTTGCGCTTTGTGCGCCTACGCCAAAATGGTCGCATGGACTACTTTGCAGACCGCTCGTTGGAGCAGCATGACCTAAACATGCTCTGGATCGTTGATTAGGGAAAGTGCGTGTGTTTAGCCAACCAACGTGAAGGAGGATTTGCTCTGAAAGTGACCCTGTACGCCCACAACACCGTCGAAACAAGAGAAAAAAGGACTGGGTTTTGTATACAATCGCATCAGGTTTGACTTGATCTTTGCGATGGCTTTGGGGTGAAGACGACCTGCAACAAACGAAACAAATCGAACAATAATGGAAATAGGGTCCTGCAGAGGATCAGCTTCAGACGATTGGACGTGTGCATTAAAGAACCCTGACTGGAGGGCAACCTTGCAAGACCTTGAAGGCGGAGAGGGAAAGATGCTGCGAGACTCTGGTTTCAACTTTTCAAACAGGTTGGTTGTATTTCACACTATCGATAGCCAAGTGGCTTGACGTTTGCACACACTTGGATACAAATTTCAAGCAAATGCTTCCCTCAGAGATATACTTTTACAGACGCGCGTCCTGGAGGACGTGGTCGACGAGACGCTTGTAGCGCCAGTGATCACCTTGCAACCGGCGAAGGCGGATACCATGCAGGCCAAGCCGACTAATCTTCTGCACCGCCATCTCCCAGCTCACATCCTCCTCGGCTTCAGAGAAGTAGCTCCCGCGGCGACGGCGATCGCCAGACCCATCCGAGTTTCGCGTACGGCACGTCAACGTGTTGCGGTCCAGCTGATGAGGCACAAGATCATCAGGTGGCAAGGTGACGGGGTGAGAACGGCACCCCACAGCACACACATACACACACACATGAGCGCAGAAACGATTCGTGGCGACCAACCTCAAAGTCTACGCCATTGCGGCGCAAAGCTCGCTGCAACTCGGCCATGACCCGGTCATAGGGCAGAGACGAGGTAGTGGCCGCACCAAAAGAGCTGACCATGTGCGTGCATGACAAACGAGGCAGAGAAAATGCAAAGAACAAAAGGGAGCAAACAAAAGAGGGCAGTTTCTATGAGTACAGAGGCATCCACAACCTTGGATGGCTCCCGTTCACGCGCATCTACTCACCTGGAGCTTGTGGCCTCAGTCGCCAAATCCAAAGCTTTGACATCAACGACGCGAGAGGCCGCCGACTGCCGAATGGTGGCGGTCGTGACCGACTTGGCACGGCGTCGGCCACTGCCCTCACGCGAGAAAGGTGAAGGCAAAGCATCATCGCCCGGAGCCAAGTGCTCAGCCGAGCCACTGCCGGAGCTAACGGTCGCGGTAAGATGCGCGACGTGGGGTCCCATCCGCGATGCCAACCCAGTCGCAGAGGGCGGCGTCGAGCGGCGGGTGGGTTGGTGGGGGTTCACGGTCTGCTCCAGCCATTGCGGGGGCTGTGATTGGTCCGGTTGCGTCTCAGCGTCGTCAATCTTGATGGCCAAAGCTTCGGGTTCGGGATCAGCAAACACTTCTGAAATGGTTGTGGGAGTGACCACACGCGAAGCTTCTTCTAGCTCGACGTTGCTATCATTGCTCAAGCGGTTGTTGGTGTTGCTCGACGTTTGGCTCAAGCGTGAAGTGTCACTATCACGCCGCGCCGGGGTGGAGCCGACGGAAACTTGACTGGCGCGACTCTGGCGCCGGGCCCGCGCTGCGTCACTGCTACGACGCATCATGAAGTCAGGTACATCGTGCACGGGTATCGTCTCAGCCGTGGAGTTGAGCACTGTGACCTTTGTACATGACAGGCGTCGAGCGCGCGGAGAGGTTTCGAGCTCCTCCAGGGGGTTATCGGAGCCATTCACAAATTGCATGCTGGAGCGGGACGATCGCCGTTGGTGGCGTCGAATTTGCCGCAGACGCTCAATCGCTTCTGGGTTGGTCTCAGAGAGATCACCAGTCGAGGCACGCATGGCCGTGGCACGTCGTGGCGCATGCAGGGGAGTGGCCGGCAACGAGACAGCAGTGGCGGGTGGCGACCAAGCTGGGGCTTCCATCGTCGCGACTGAGCCGTTGCTACGTGGCCGTGGCATCGAGTGCGGCGCTGTTGAGGGTGAGCCCGCGGGTGAGCCCACCGAAGCTGATAAGCGCTCACGGGAGTTGCTAGGAGAGGTCAAGAGACGCTGAGAGCTGGCCTGGGACACCAAAGCGCCGTCAATGGTGCGTCGATCGGTCACCACGTGATGGCCTAGGGTGCTGATGCGCCGAGGCCGGCCAGGACTCGCGAGCCCGCTGGGAGGAGAGCCGCCACCTCCATTGGCATTGGATGTTCGACTGACACGCCAGGACCGGGCCAGCCACAGACGATGAGAAGAACGCAAACTACTTTGGTGAAGTCAACCCCTAAAACAGCTTTGCTAGTCCCGAGGTGCGTTACAAGTGACATACATGCAACCGCCACCATCGTCAGTGGTAGAGAGTGAAAGGCGCGGAGTCTGCCGACTGCCCACTGTCCCTGCGCGTGCACCTATTGGGAAACATAATTTTAAAAAAAACCAATAAAAAAAAAAAAAAAAAAAAAAAAAAAAAAAAAAAAAAAAAAAAAAAAAACACCATCGTCAGACAGAGGTGGTGAATGGCAAGGCCCGGAGCCAGCCTGGTTGGGTCAGAGTGGAGCTAATCGGAATTCTGAACAAAATCAAGCCGTACGTGTGCCGGTTGAGGTGCTCAGCAACAAAGGCGATCGGCCGCCGTTGCCACTGTTTGAGCGACTGGGCAGTGCAGCCACGTAGCGGCGGATTTCTGTAGCCAGACAGCGGCCCGCAACAAGCAAATGGCAACAGTTTTGAGTGACAATGGTGCAAGGCAAGTACAGACGCGATGGGCGCATGGGCGGGGGATATGATCAGCGAACACCGTTCAGTAGTGTTGGTAGCCGAACGCTAGGTCGATACACTGACCTTCCTCTTTGGCACGCTCCTTGTCCTCTTCCAGGATTTGGTCAATCATAATGTGAAAGGCGGCTGTGAGACGCGTCATGCTGTCGCCTTGCAGGTCTTGATGAAGCTGCTCCACGTTTTCCCCCAATTCTAAAAACAAGGTCAGGCGGCGGGGCACGAGACACGGGGCATGAAACAAATGACACCAGACGAGAAAAGCCTCTTGGGAAGAGGGTCTTCCGAGCACAACGAGGCTTGACAACGCACCTTTGAGCCGCTCGGTGCAGCGTCGGTGTAGGTCTGTGCGCGCGTGGTCGTCGAGGCCACACCTGTATGGACTCTGGTGGCCTGAGCAGACCCAGGGGTGCTCCCAGATGTCATCGATGCTGAGACGTTGGTGGGGATCACGGACAAGGATTTTTCGCAGCAGGTCCTTGGCGCTATTTGTGAGGTTATCGGGAATCTCAAAATCGGCATTCTCAATCTTTTGCAGGTTGGTGACGGCGTTGTCCTCCTTAAAGGGCATTTCACCTGTCAGAATGGTGAAAATTATCACGCCGAGGCTCCACACGTCAGCCATGGGGCCAATGTATTTCTGATTGGCCAGAATTTCGGGTGCGCAGTAGGCTGGGCTGCCAACAAACGTGCTCATGAGGCCACCGTCCTTGAAGACGTTGCTAAAGCCAAAATCAGTGACCTTGATGTCGTCGTTGTCACCCAGGAGAATATTTTCGAGCTTGAGGTCACGATGGACAATACCCTTACGGTGGCAAAAGTCCAGGGCTGAGAGAATTTGCCGCACAAAGCGCTGGCCCTCAGACTCTGAGAGCCGGCGGCGGCTGATGAGGTAATCAAATAGCTCTCCACCTTTCAGGCACTCCAAGACCAGCATGACGGTACGTGGGGCACGGATGACATCGTAGAGGCGCACAACGTGGGGGTGCTGCAAAGTTTTTAGCGCCGTGATTTCTGACCAAGCGGAGGCATCTTCGGGGCAATCTTCGCGAGGGATGAACTTGATAGCGACGTCGCGACCCGTGAGGCGATGGGTCGCTTGGCGCACCTCGCCATGCTTGCCTACACCGAGCATGCTATCGTTCATTCCCACAATGGGGTGGCGGATGAGCCGAGTGTATCCGTGAGTTGAGACCACCGTCAAAAGGCTCAAGATGAGGACAACAACGAGCACGACGGCACGGCAAATAAAAAAAACCAGCACAAGTGGCTCGAGGCCCAAAGCGAAGAGCACGGCATCCAGCGAAAAAAAAAATGAAATAGAAGAAAAAAAAAGTACATGACGCGAAACAGGGGAAGCGGGTGACGAGAGCACATGGCCGAGGCATGAGGGTGGGCTAACAAGAGACATGTACAGTACGTACCGTCCCAGGGCGTAGTGTTCAGCAAGAAGGGCTTCAGCATCGACATCGGCGGCCATGTTGGCCAGGGTCCCATCGGAGGGGTGGTCTTCGTGGATCATTTTGATGGCAAAGGTGATGCCATCCGACAGAGCTGAGGCACGAGGCAACCGATCCTAGCTTGCGCCGGCACTCAGCATGACCTCGCCCCGTGTCGACGAGCCGTCTCGGGTACCCGGCCAAGGACCAGGCAGTGCGCACTCGTGCGCACTGGGGTGCGTGCCTCGTCGCCGGGCAAGCGCCTCAAGCCGAGTCTCTCAAATAATTCGGAAAAAAAGCGAGGAAGAGTCGGTTGCTCAAGTGTCGTGCGCTTGGCACCGCTTCAATCCCGCACACACAGGCACACAGCACAATGGGCAACAGCAAACTGTGCGTGCTGCCAAGGGTTTGCCGATGCCACTGTTCCTCTGGTTCGTCTAGACAGTGGAGCCCCGGACAGGCATGCGGCATGAGCCAAAGCCAAGCGCATGATATCCAGAAGAAAAAAAAAATTGGCAGCAGCCAAAGGGGCGCTCTCTGTCTCTCTCTCTCTCGCTCACACACCCCACTTCAAGTGCTTCCTCAACCATGAGATGTGTAAGCATCACGTCGCCCCGTCGCCCCGGTCCCCCCCCCTTGCTTCTCAACCCGCGCGCTGCGCCGGTGTGTCCAGCACAGACACACACACACACACACAACCAGACGCTCTCTCGCTTTTCACCTCGATCAGTCAGGAAAATAGATGAAAGAGAGCGTGACTGAGTCGAGCCAATCTTTAGAGAGAGCGATGGCTGCTGGGTACTCTTCAGAGGTTTGTTAAGGACTGAATCAATCTGCTTATTCAAAACGAAGGTAACATTAGAGGTGTAGTTATATAGAGTCACAGGAGCAGAGTAGCGTTCAAGAAAGTGTGTGAGATAAGAGATGTTGAATGACAGTTCTCACTCTTGACAAAGGACATTTAGTGCCAAGAGTGTGTCCGCTTCGAATGGCACTGACTGGTCCCTGGTATGCCAAGCCCCAGTGGCTTCGATGCAAGTCGCTGGGCTGGAACAGGCAAAGCTGAACCCAACCCAACCCATCAAGCATCATCCCCTTGGCTTTAGGGGGACAGGCATGGGCCAGTCTCAGCAATGGGCCCCTATGATGTCTTTACAGTAGAAGCTTCTCTCAACTTTTTTTTAAAATGTGCGGAGATGGTATGGGCTGGTAGGAGAATGGGGAAGATGAATTCAGAATCCTTGGGCTCTGACTTGCGCGCTCTTTCGAGGCACCATGCTTGGTGACTTGAGAAGAGGTGAGAGATGTCAGAGTGCCTTTGAAAATGACCGCCAGGTCAGGCCGGCTCGAGGTCATCCATCATGCAGCGGCCCGCTTGGGACAAGAGATAAAAAGGCTTGACTGCTGAGAATGACCTCGACTGCCGACCTGACCAAATTAATCAGGCAGCTGGTGGCCGTGAAACGGTTGACACCAACGCCTTCACCGGGGCGTCATCATGTGATGATGATGGTCATTGGTCCTGGCGGCCGATGAGCAAGATATGCGGGGTTTGCTCAGACCCCACTTGCGCACCAACCTGACCGTTCTGCATCCTTCCCATTCACACCTGTTGCGTCGCAAGTCCTCGCAGAGAAAAACGGCGCAGTACCACGAAATCACTCACACACGCACACACACACAAACACACAATATACAGGGCACACTTCAGCAAATGCTCGGCAAAGGGCAACCATGGGTGTGACACTCTGCCATTCAAGGCCAAAGGTCGGAACAAACGAGAGACAACAAAGATCGGTGTAAAACACGAGACGTCACATGTCCGACAGAACAGGTTTCAGTTGTCTTGGGTCATTCTACGCCCAGCTAGGAAAGCAAGGGAACCTCGACATCGACAAATTGCAGGCCTTCACTCAGGCGAGCTTGCTTTTGTCCTAAACAAGACGGCGCAAGTTGAGGGAATCCCGCAGTCTCCGCCTCGTTTTGGTATCAGAGTGCCGTATTGAAGTGAAAGCCAATCTATCTGACCTGCAACGACGCGGCCAATTTGCCAACATGGAAAGTTGTCAATGTCTTGAAGCTCGCGCATAAAAGCGGCGGCCTGGTGGGCTGGTAGCATGACGAGCAAGCCTCCCGAAGTTTCGGCTGAAAAGCCTTCGAGCAACTTGAAATTGAATTTCTCGTTGACAGCACGCATGCCTGGCAGGACTGAGCAAGAGCAACATGGTTTGCACTTGAATAAGCCATGCTCGACAACTGCAAAGCTCGGCAGAAGAAGAAAAAGGGAAATACACCGCAGGCCCGAGGCATGATCGTACTGGGCAACATGTCAAGGACCAAGTCGACCTCGGCCGTTTGGGCCTCGGCTAGGTTTTGCGCATGGCCGAGAATGCCGAAACCAGTCACATCTGTGGCGCCATGCGCGCCGTACTTGCGCATTAGACCTTGAGCAGAGGAAAATTCACAAACGGAAAAGGGCAAGAGCATGAGCACCATGCTGGTTTGAAAGCAAAAGCAGCGGGCTGGCTTTACCTGCGGCCCGGCGATTCAATTTGGCCATTGAAGCCATGGCCATATCATACGTGCGCTTCACTTGTTCCGGCGTCATGACATCCTTGATCTATACAGGAAGCATGACCATGAACTATTTTTGCTCGAAGAGGCTTCAGAGTAAACAATGCAGGCGGTTTAATGGTAAGCCAACTTACCGATCGAAGCCAGGTGTACCAAGCCATTGGTGGGCATTGACCGCAGGCTGGGTGCCCAGCGGTTTCGTCAGCACCAGGACGTCACCAGCCTGCCCACCCGTGGGCCTGGTGAAGAATGGACGCAAACATTACAGAAGCGGAAGGAAAGAAAAGTGTACCATGTGATGAGCAAAAGGAGGACAAGGCTCGTCAAAAAAACGTGGGCCATACATCACCAACATGATGTAGTCTTGGGGCTTGCAGACGGACGACGCGACCCCGCCAACAATCATCCAGGGATTGAGGACAGTTTGTCCGCCGGAAACGCGCGTGCCGGCATCACGGCAGGCATCTGGGGTGTTCAACAGATCGAGAGGGAGCGTACAACGGGAAACGAAGAGAAGCGTGTGAGCCCAAGCTCGGCAGCTCAACAGAACAATGACGAGTGACAAGCGCACCACGAAAGCCTTGCATCACCAAGGGCGTCACGACTTGTCGTTGTTTCGCCGACATGTTCAAGCTCAACGCTGGAAGAACAGGGGGGGAGGCGGAGGGCAAAGCAACACAGAACCAGCATGAGACACGGTGTGTGCGCCATGCGTTCGAACTGGCGGCTGCACGGGATGGAGGCGGAGTGAATACCCAAAAGCATGAGCACATTGTCACAGTGTTCAACACCCATGGCATACAAGTCGCTGAGCACATTGGCGGCAGCGATGCGGCCTTGCACATATGGGTCATCCACGAGCGGATAGAAAAAATCGGTTGTCTGCATGATACGAGACCCGTGGGACCAGCAGGAGGGTCGTGAGCGAGGGTGGTCTGAGTTTGTCCCTCGGCTGGAATGTGCATCAGGCTGGGTGACTGGTAGCGGTGAGCAATTTGGCCTACCTGAACGAGATGCATGTCTGGGTAGCGAGTCTTGAGCACGCAGCTGTCCAGGCCGATGCCGACCAGACTTTCGGCATCAGTCTCGTCCTCCCCGGACTGCTTGAGTTCTACATCACGGTCAGCAAGTGGCATCTTATCAGCACAAAGACCGGGCGTACAACAAGGCAAAAAGCAGAAGCAGGCGGAGCGCAGAGTGTGCGGAAGCGATATCAGGGGGGCACACACACCCTCGAGCAGAATGAGCAGTTCTGCTTGAGGAACTTTGCTAAAACGGCAAGCGGGCGCGAGAGAAGAAGTGAGGCGAGTCACCCCTGAACACCCAGCTAGGAGACTGCAAGGCAAACACAAGCAAGGCGGAGACAGGGTCGAACCAGCCTCAGCCCTTGAGCTTGGCGTAGTCGGTGAGACGGAAGCCAGACTCGAGACCGTGTGCCTCGGGGTTGAACGGCGTGATCATCTACAGAGCACACGCGCATGAACGGGGACGACGGCTCGGACATCAACCCGCTAAGCCCGTTGACGTACCTTGACCTTTTTAGCCCCTGGACCTGGCCCCTGGACCTCGGCCATGGCGCCTGCATTTCCTGCCGACGCCGCCATTTCTCCGCAACCAGATGAAGAAAAGTGAAAAAAATTGTGTGTGTGTGTGTGTGTGTGTGTGTGTGTGTGTCGCTCTCTCTCATGAGTATGTCTGACTTCTCGGTCTCTCTGTCTTTGCATCTGAATTCCTCTGCGTCTCTGAATCCTTTTATTTTCGGTCCTTGTGTGTGTTTCGCCTGCCTGCCTCTCTCTCTCTCTTTTCTCTCTCTTTTCTCTCGCTCTTTTCTCTCTCTCTGTCTGTCTCTCTCTCATTCATTTTTCTCTCTCTCTCTCTCTCTCTCTCTCTCTCTCTCTCTCTCTCTCTCTC